TTATTTCATTCATTTGCATTTTATTACGTACGAGTTCCGTAACACATTAGGGTCATTAGTACCGTAGCAGCAGTAGATTTTTCTACGGCGAGTTAGCTTGACAGAGCTCATCCCACTTCAGGCAATTTTTTGAATTCAGAGTTGTCTTTCTTCTATACTGGTTGCTAGCCAAGGCTAGAGAACCCAATCTTCCCTGTAATTTAGACCATAGCTGAAGGAAGAAAAGATGGATTCATATTTTTCCCCAAGGCATTTTCACGAAAGAGAAACGCAACAGAATAGCTGGAACTTGATCTCGGCCCGACCGATTCCACTGTGCACACTGACATCCGCGTTCGTTATCCTCAAAAGCATCAAATTTCAATTCTAAAATTGTTTGTTTATTTAAAATACTATATTTATCAGAAAATACATTCAGTTTAAATACAGAGGTCATAAAAAAGGATTTCAAAGGACATTTTGGCTTACACATTTTTCCTGTTACGCACTGATTTTTGTTAGACAGAAAAATTCGCCCTTACGACACAGATGACCATTGTGTGTGTGTGTGTGTGTGTGTGTATGCGTGTGGGGGGCGTATTTGTGTGTACATTAAATGGCAGTAGCTCATTCTAAATTACTCATGCAACCTAAGAGATTAGGTCACAGCATCGGCCCCTACCTAACGAGCTTTAGTGAATGGATGGCGGAAAGGGATAAGAAGTTGTGGAGAGCCATGATCGCCCATGTCATAAAAGGACGCGGCACTATCTATCATTCTCAGAGAAATCATAATTATTTCTAATATCATTTAGATGACTATCTTTACCTTCTTTTGTTTTTGATATGTCCCCGAAAAGGATATATTTGATCGAAGTAGCTAAGTGGTTTTGGCTACTGTAACTAAGCAGTACACGGTAGCAGTAATCGACTGGTACTTGTCGTAGTCGCAGGTAATAGGTGTAGACCAATAGCGCAGTCCAATGGGCGTCGTCATAGACTTAAACTCTGTCGTACCTACACGTCCGTCTGTATTTATGACGGACACCAGCCAATCATATTCCAGGTGTATGCATATTCCATTATATTAGTTTTACAGCTACATTTTTTTTTGTCTGATGCCTTTTACGAGACCAATATATAACGCCAACCAAAATCCACTTGTTCTATCAATGCATGATCTCAACTTCCCTGCAACAGGGATGAAATTTAAAACCTCGCAAAAATGTAGTTGATTGTCAGTCGAACCATCATCCATTTTTCCAGAAAAATATTGATTCAAGATTATTGGGACAATAAATACATTTGATACATTTATTCGCTATGATACACACACACACACACACACACACACACATATATATATATATATATATATATATATATATATATATATATATATATATAGCCACTCGTATTCGATGATACCCATCTAATAGGTCGGCTAGCCAATCCCTATTGCAGACTATCGCTCAGGCACATTTGTGTTTGTTCAACACTCACAGAGTCAAACTGTGGTTTATACAGCAACTATGCTGAGTAGACATTAGTTACAGTCTCTGGAAGAGAGCGCGTTATCTAGAATAATCAACAATCTGAACAACACCAGCACACTCAAACTCTCGGTCACGATGACTTGTGACTTCGCGCTAGCACAGCTATCGACAGCCCCAAATGCTCCGTCTATCCAATTTCACTCACAAGGTTTGTGTCAACTCGTGTCATAGTTTTCAGGCACTTTCCAAAGGTGCCGCACGCTGGGATCGACCTCAATCCACTCCGATAACATCAGGAAGTCGCCTTCCCGACAAATCGACCATGATGAGATTCGACCCCGGGTCTTATACATATATATGATATAATGATATATATAGAGATATATATATATATAAATATATTATATCGTTATATCATATGATATAAGGATATATAATTTTGTATAATCTTATATATTGACAAACAGTATTTAGAAAAATATGAAAAACTGGAAAGTTATTTTGTGATGCGTTTCATCCGTTAGGATATCATCGGACTGGAATTTGATGACGTTGCCACATCTACACATGCGCACGAAAGAGAGACGCAGGCACCGTCAAAATCTTTTGAAAGAATATTTTTGAATGAATATTTTTTGAAAGAATTTTCTTTTCTCAGTCTAGCTGAAATCACCTGTATTCTTTTTCTTTTTCTTTTTCTTTTTC